CGTACCGTACCGTACCGTACCGTACCGTACGTACGTACGTACCGTACGTACGTACGTACCGTACCGTACCGTACCGTACCGTACCTACCCTCCCTCCTCCTCCTCCTCCTCTCTCTCTCTCTCTCTCTCTCTCTCTCTCTCTCTCCTCCTCTCTCTCTCTCTCTCTCTCTCTCTCTCTCTCTCTCTTTCTCTCTCTCTCTCTGCCTCTCGACGACCGAACAGCGAAATGATGGCTGCGGCGCTGCCCTTTGTCAAGGAAGAGGAAAAGGAGAAGCACCGCTGCGTCGTCGAGGTCGCGGGCGCTCAGTGCGGCAAGCTGTTCAAGGCGGCCATCTTTGTGCAGAAGCACGTCCTCAACAAGCACCGCGCCTTTCTCGAGTCGCACGCCGAGCAGCCAATCCAGGAGACGCGCTTCTTCAACAACTACGTCCGCGACCCCTGCCGACCGCAGGCGCTCGCCGGTCACTCGGGCCCGGGCGGAGGAGCCGGCACCCCGCTCTCCCAGCGCTTTGGCGGAGCCACGCCAATGGACGCGAGCCCGGGCGCTCCGTCGCCTCTCTTCAACAGCTCGAGGGTGGGACTGATCCGGCTCGGCGGCAGCACGGCCGCCATGGACTCGCCGTCGTCGACGGCGTCGTACGGCCGGCGAGCGACGTCGCCCGGTCGCAGGCTGGGCGAACGCATCGGCGGCGTCATGCCCTCGGCCGCGGTCCCCATGGCCGGCAACGGCGGCTACGCCAGCCCCTCGTCGGCCTCGCTCAGCATGCGCATCGGCGGACTGGCCCCCAACGGCAGCCCCGCGGCAGACTGGAGGTCGGGGACGGTCAAGTTGCCCGCTGAACCGCTGCCGGACCCGCCCAAGCCCCTCGACCCGCGCGCCTCCCGTACGGCGGCCATCAACAGCTACACGGACCTTGACGGGCCGGCCCAGGGCGACGTCGACGACCTCGCCTACTAACGACGGTGCCACACCGTGCCGCCGTCGTGGCCACGTCCGAGACGGAAAGGGTAGCGGGTTGGCGGGGCCAGAGGATGCCGGGCGGCAGCGCGATCGGAGCAAGTCTCGATCTCCGTCGCCGCTCGCATCTGCCTGCCCCGCCCTCCGTCCCAGCCCACCAACCCCAGCGGCCGCGCGGCCATCGCCCCTGGCCGTCCGGCCGGTCGGTCATCCAGGTCGTGGCTTTCTTTGTTTTGTATTGAGAGGGCCAGAGAGAAAAACAGCGCCTCGACAAGAGAATACGAACTACAGAGAGTCGACCCTTTGACCTCGTCGCCTCGGTCGAGTGGAATGGGAGGACTAATAAGCAGGTGGTGTGCCGTCGTTGGCCGGCAGGCGGGCGGGCGGGGGGATAAGATAGGAAGGTTGGGGGGCGAGGGGGGTTTCTCCTCTCTACTCGGAGAGCATATCGATGGCCCTCTCGACGATTTCGCGCGCCGGATCCGCCTCGTCGGGGAAGACGTTTGCCATGATGGTTTCGCGGTTGGCGAGGATCTGCTTGTTGAACTGTCGTCGCAGTCACAGTCGCAGTGGCAGTGGCAGTGGCAGAGTGAGTCGGTGGCCGGGAAGGGGAGAGGGAAAGAGGGATCGTCAGTCTGATGAAAGGCCACCTGCATTCTCGCAACAAAGAGCGCCCCGCCGAGGACTCACCAGCCGACAAAGTTCAAGGAACCATCCGCGGATCCACCAGCTCTGCCACTTTGCGTCGTCCCACTCCTGCGTCGATGCCAGGTCCATCTGCAGCGCTCCAGACTGCTTGAGCAGCCGGTTGAATCCGCCCAGGACCGAGATAAAGACCTTGCGCTGCTCGACTTGGATCGCCTCGAGGCTGATGCGCGCCTCTTCGCTCGTCGCCTTGCGCTTCTCCTCGTCCCTCGCCGTCGTCGACGCGACCGTCGTGGCAGTCACGGCGTTGGCAGAGGAGAGGTCGGGTCGAGGCGGCAACGAGGCCGAGGTGGGGAAGAGCGGCAGCGACGGTGCCGCCGGCACCTGCTGTGGCGAGGCGGGCGTCGAGTCGTCCTCGTCCATTCCCGCCGCCAGCGCGGCCTCCTTGCGCTCCTGCTCCAGCGCCTCCTCCCTCTCGATGTCCTCGAGTCGCTTCTGCAGCTGGTCCACGCGCCCGTTGACCTTTTTCAGCGTGAGCCGGATGATGAGCCACCAGTTAAACGAGCTCCAGTCGCGCTGCGAGCTGCCCGCGCCGACGACCGCGGGCACCCGCGAGAAGCTGTGGGGCACGCCGTCGCCGCTGCCCAGCAGCACAGGCGCCGGCTCGTCGGTGGGCGGCGAAAAGACAAAGTCGACGACGTCGGCCGGCTCGACGATGCGGTACTGGAGCAGCTTGTCGATGACGATGCCCACCCACTGCGCCGAGCGCGCCCAGAAGCGCGTGGCGCCGCACAGGATGGCGATGCGCATGCGCGGCGACGACGACAGCTGGCGCAGCAGCGCGTGGTAGCGCTCGACAATGTTGAGGAAGTGGGAAAACGAGCGGCTGCCGACAAACAGCACCGCCTGGATGGCAATGTCGCGCACCACGGCCTCGGCCTGCTGCTCGCTCTCGACCTTGCCCTGCGCATCGATGCCGCCGTCGTCGTTGCCGGCGTCGGGCAGCGAAAACGACGACGGGTCGGGGCGGATGCTCGCCTTGAAACTCTCAAAGTCGGCCATGATGACCGGAGCCGCCGCCTTGGCGCGGATCGAGTTGATCAGCCGCGAAGCCTGCGCGTGGTACGGGTGGCTCTCGTCGGCGTACGTAAAGGCGGGCAGCGGCTCCTCGGGCGCCAGCGACGACTGGGCAATCTCCTCGGGCAGCGTCTGCTTGATCCGGTCGTAGTAGGCCAGCCTCACCTCGAGCTCGACAATCCTACGGCTAAAGGCACGGCGCGGGTGCGAGGCCGGCAGCGCGGCGTCGCCGATCCACTCCTTCCAGGCCCAGCCAAAGTTGAAGTTGGACAGGTGGATGCTGAACCAGTCGGCAAAGCGGTCCAGCACCTCGGCGTCGATGCGGCCGTCGCCCATGGCCGAGTAGAAGGTGCGGATGGTGCGGCCGAGCGAGGGCGCAATGGTGCCCGGCGTCACCGACACCACCTCGCGCAGCAGCGCCGTGTAGTAGAGCGCGTTGCGCGGCGGCGTCGGCAGCACCAGCGACGTCGATACGACCGACTCGACAATCAGGTCATCGAGGCTCCAACCGCCCTCGACAGTCTGGCCCGTGCCGGCCCGCTCGACGTACCACCACTCCTCGTCCGACTCGCCAAACAGGCCGGCGTCGGGCGACACCTTGCCGCCGAAGGTGCCGCGGCGCAGCCACGAGGGCAGGTCGAGGATGAGGCGCGCCGCATCCTTGCGGTTGACCTCGTAGAGGTCGATCATGTCTGCCAGGATGGCGCGCAGCACCACCGACGACGGAGTCCCCGGCTGCGGCACCGAGTCGACGAACCACCGCGCCTGCCGGTCGACGCGCTCCGGCCCACTGCCGGCCCGTCGCTGGTCGGCCTCGCCCTTGCCGATGTCGAGCTTGCCCGAGCGGGCGTGCCGCTTGGTGCGCTCACCGGCCGTCTCGCCGAACGAGGCAAAGGCCACGTCGACGCCCGAGGCGTCCAGGTCCTCGTCTGGAGGCACGAGCACGTCGGGCAGGCTGACACTCCGCTCTTCCCGGGGCAGCTTGCTGGCGCTGGGCGAGATGGCGGCGGGCAGGAGATCGCTCGGGGTCGGGAGGAACGCCGGGCGAGTGTAGCCCTGCGACTGGCATGCCTCGAGGGCGCGGACACAGTCCTCGAACGATTCCTGGCGGAGCGTGTTGCCGTCGATGGCGTCGACGCTAAAGGGCGCCGCCAGCTCGTATTCGACCTTGCGGGAAGCGTTGTAGGCGGTCACCTTTTCCACGAGAGCGTCCAGCTCCTGCCTGGCGCCTTCGTCGGCGGAGGCGGCGTCGCCGTTCTCGACGCCGTCGACGTCGTCGACGTCGTCGCGAAGCAGCAGATCCTGGCCGCCCCTGCAAATCATCTCGATGATGCAGATGGCGGCGCGGTCACCCCGCGATGCGGCCACACCTGGCTCGTCGAGCACGGCTGCGAACGATGAGAGCAGCGTCCGGAGCGAGCTGGCCGAGATGATACGAAGCGGCACCAGCGCGGCGAAGAGGTGCAGCTGCGGGCGGAGGCGAGGTAGTCATGGACAGAGAGTATGGGCAGGAAGCGGTCGGGTCAGCGGATGAGCCTGCTCGACGGACACGAGCACTCGTTGAACTCACGCTCAGCCTCGTGTTGCGCCAGAGGCGGGCGTCGAGATAGGTTCGGAAGGCACGGACGAGGTCCTTGACGACGGTGATGCCGACGGTGTCGTCCTTGGATGCCACCTGGGCGTCGGCATCGTGCTCCGCTGGGTCCTGGCGTTCGGCATCGCGGCGCTGGTTGGGCGAGAGGCAGAGGAAGCCGATGAGGGCGGCGATGAGGGGAATCTTGTGGGGCTGCTCGACGACCATGATGCGGAATGCGGCGTTGACGGGCTCGACGCCGTCCTTTGCCCTCTCCTGGATCCAGCGCGAGAGCTTGAGGAGGTCGCTGGGCGGGTGGAAGTCCTTTTCCTCGCCGAGCTTGTAGAGGTTGAGCTTGAGCTGGCGCGCCTTTTGCTCGGCTCGCGACTCGGGCGTGTGCTGTGGAGTCTGCTGGTGGTGGTGGTGGCCGCCACCACCGCCGCCGTAGTATCCGCCACCGCGTCCTCCCCCTCCGCCGCCACCACCTCGTCGAGGGCGGCTGTAGGGGGACTGCTGGTGGCCTCCTCCTTGGTAGTAGCCACCGCCGCCCGCCTGTCCGTAGGGGTAGTTGCGGTCGGCCATGGTCGCAAAGGGTCTTCTATGTAGGGGAATACGAAACTGTGATCTCCCGGTTGCTTGGCCAGTCGAGTGATCGTGCGTCTACGACGGCGGTCTCGGCTAGCCAGGTTCCAGCCGCAAAGGAGCGCAGGCAGGCTGGTTTGGTGGGTGCGAGGCAGCGGCGCGCGGCGTTGGCGTGGTTTGATCCTGCTGCAGCTGGTCGGGGACGATGCTGCGGGTGCGCGACAAAGGCGGGCGGGGTCGTGTCGGGTCGCTCCGATCGGCTCGAGCACGGGACGAAGCAAGGGACGGATGGACGGTGATTCCGGGCTGGCTGATGTATGGTGCTTCGGACGATCCGTCAGTCGGGGCGGGGTGGATGGGAAGGCGGGTGAGGGTGTTTTCTAGCAAGCAAAAGGCACCTCGATGTCGTCTGTGCAACGAGCAGAGAGCTTCGAGCCCGCCCGCCCTGCCCACGCTCCCCGCGGGACTCGGAAGTGGAGCAGAGGCGGGCGGGCGGCCAGGTAGCCATCCTCCTGTCCCTTGGCCTCCCTGCCACCGCCACCGCCACCGCCACCACCACCACCACGACAACGATCACCCACGACCCCTCTACCAGCCAACCGCCAGCTCGGACTTCGTCTCGACATCGCTGTTCCTCGCCCCTTTCGGCCCGACCCTTCCACATCCGGCCTGCCCTTGCAGCGTCTGCCACCATGTCGACACGCCGAGACAAGCTGCGGGCGTGCCTGCGCTGCCAGTTTGTGCAGTCGCCAAAGGACTTCCACCTCAAAGGCTGCCCCAATTGCGAACCTGTCCTCGAAGTGAGTCTGCCGCATCGTGGCGCCTGCCCTCGTCCGACTCTCTCCATCACCCTTGGCTGACCCATCTCCGTATATAATGCTCTGCGTCCTCCGCCGCTCATCCACCTCAGATGCAGGGAAGTCAGGATCGGGTGGCAGAGTGCACGACGGCCAACTTTGACGGCATGATTGCCATGCTTCGACCCGAGGACAGCTGGGTGGCAAAGTGGCAGCGCATCGGTACGTCCCAGCCTTTGCTCCTCGACGCTCTCGCGCGTGCCTCTTCCGCTTCGACCCTCTTGTCTGACGCGCCTGGATCCGTCGTCTCATCCCCGTCTTCATCAACTCTCAGAGAAACGCCTGCCCGGCTTGTACGCCGTCAAGGTCGTTGGACGATTGCCGGACAACATCGAAGCATAGCCCCCGCGGGCCAGCGTGGCACCGAGCTCGAAACCGCATCATTCCCGGCCCCAGCTCAGCGACAACCCGGACGGCCCGCTCCCCTCTGCCCACCTTCGACCGGCCCTCGCAAGACCACTGCGCCTCTGCACCTCCGCACTGTACCCGCTCCCGCGCATCCTCGAATCCCGGCCTTTCTCCACCAGCAAAACGACCATGTACTATACCAGACCTTGTGGCACACGAGCCAAACGAGCGCAAACACAGACGAGCACCGAGACGCCGACTTGCACCCAAAGTCATATTGCATGGGCCAGCTCTCGGATCAGCCTTTTGCGCCGCGCATCCCGCATCCGCTCGAGCCGCTTGATCATCTCTGGCCCGTCCTGGCTCGCCTTGCGCACCTTGGCCTCGCGATCGTACGCCTTGACCAGGTCCTGCACGATGCCCGCCACGGTGGCAATCGAGACATTGAGGCTCGCCAGCCACGTCAGCGTCTCGTTTGACGGCGGCGCCGGCGGATCGGGCAGCGAGGTCGAGATGAGCTCCTGCACCGTCCCCGCCGCCCCTATCGAGGTAGCGCTTGAAGGCGTGGCGGTCCGTGAAGCCGCGCTCCGACCCTGATTCGCACCTGACGACGCCGCCGCCGTCGCTGGTGTGGCCTTGCTCTGCTGCGCCGAAGTCGTGATCGAGGACGAAGACGAGGACGAGGCGTTGGTCTGGCCGCTCGCCTCGTCGTGGCTCGAACCGACACCCTCGAGCGTCTCCTGCACCTCCTTCCTCCATCTCGCCCTCTGCTGCTCCATCTCCTCAGCGCTCGAAGTGAGCTTCTTCTGCGAGGCCGGGTGCAGCAGCAGGGCCATCCAGATTGCCGCGATGGCTATGAGGTGGGGCGGGTGCATCAGGGGCAGGTCGGTCGAGTAGGAGTCGTTGATGATGAACCAGGCCAGCTGGACGGTGGTCTCGTCGAGCTCCGCGATGCCGAGCTCGGCCGTCGAGTCGTCGCCGAGGCCCTGCGGGAAGAGGCCCGCGTCGACTTCGGCATCGCCGCGCAGGCCGGAACCACCCGACAGCCCGAGCCCAACGGCCGCGGCGCCACCACCGGTGCCAGCCCTCGAACCGATCGCGGAGGTCTCCGCGGAGCGTGTCTTGGAGCGAGCCTGCATAGCGGGAGCGCCGACCTGCTCGTAGATGGCGACGAGCGAGCGGTAAGGGTGATAGATGATCAGATCAAACTCGAGCTCTTCCAGGAGGTGGAACTCCATCTCGGCCACGCTCGAAATGTCGGCGTGGAAGTTGCGCGAGCCCAGCTCTGTCGCAGAATTGGAGAGGGGGGGGGGGGGGAAGGGGGGGTTATGACGCGGCAGGGCGAGGTTCAGGGGTGAGCAGAGGCCGGCGCGACTACGGGGGGCGGGGAGGCGGTGCAGGGGACATGCTCACGCTCAAAGTGCCGCGAGGCCTCGGCGCAGATGCTCTTGATGTGAACGGGCGACTCTTCCACCTTGGCGGCCACGTACACGCAAGCGGCAATGGTGAGGAGGAGGTCGACGGCGCAGTACGAGTTCTTGGCAAAGAAGCGGCGGAGGAAGACGCAGGCGGTCGCAACGACCCGCTGGCGGAGCGCAAGGCGTTTGCAGAGATAGATGGCCTCTGCGGCGGACGAAGTTGGGACAGGCGAGGAGGATTAGGACGACGGCTCCTTTGGCGCTTTGCGATCAGGGGTCGCTGCTCACGGTTCGAGATCCATATCTGTATTGCGGCCAGTTCTTCGGGGCTGGCGTACAGGACATCCTCCTTGCGCGCCAGGTCGAGCTGCGTCCGATCGAGCAGCCAGTGGTTGCTGCATCGCGGGGCGAGAAAGGCGGGGACGGTGGCATCAGGGAAGCCTGTCAGTGGCCAGATTGGTGGTCTTCGGCTGCGCCAGTAGTTGTGCGCTGTCGGCCTGCTTACCATTGCGTCGAGAGCCAGTAGTTTGCCGCCATGGCTGCAGCTCTCGGGTCGCCGCCCTCGAACTGCGATGTGCTCGGTGGCGCTCGGACTTGGACCTCTTCAGGCCCTCGATACGGACATGCGGAATAGCTCGAAGCCGATCCGTAACAGGGCAGCGGCTGAGGGCAGGGCGGGCGAGAGAGAGGTGACGGTTGACTGTGGTGGTGGTGGTGGTGGGCCAGGATGAGAAGGAGGCGGTATCGGTGGGCCTGCCGAGGCTTTTCGGCCCAATATCCGGCACATTTTGGCGTGGGCAGAGAAGCGGCGGCGGGTGGCCGGGCCGGCTGGCTGCTCCACCCGCCTGCCTGGCAGCATGCAGGGTCTCTTGCCCGCACGAGCCTTCCTGGCCTGCGTTGCCTTGTTGCCCTTCCCTTTGTTGGCATCGAGTGGCTGAGGCTTGGAAAGAGGTCGACGGCTGGCCCCCTTCTTCTTGTCTCCCGATCCCTATCCTCGCGGCCCCGGTTGTCTCCTCCACCACCATCTTCTGGCCTCACCGCCCTCGGTCCACTCCCCGCCGAGGCAGCGTCGCGCGTCGTTGCAATGTCGCTCCTTCCGACGCTCAGCGCACCGGCGGCACCGCCCGTGCTGTCGTCGAGCATGGCGGTGGGTGCGTGCAGCGCATTCACGCTGTCTTACGTCGGCGGCCTGTACCTGTTCAAGTCGACGCGCGTCGGATCAGCCGGTGCCAAGGATGCGGATGGCCGGCCGCTCAGCAAGGACGATCCCGCCGTCATCCGGGCGCGCCTCAAGGTGGCCTCGTGGAGCAGTGCAATCAGCCTCGTCGGCACAGCCGCCCTCCTCCGTTACCGGGGCGCCGTCGTCGACCCATCACCCCTCTTTGCCACGCTTCAGTCGATGCGCCTGCTCGGGCTTCCCCTGCCTTCTCCGTCCTTGCTCTCGTCCTCCGTCATCCCCCTCTCGCCGCCCCTCTTTACCTTCCTGCTCGGCCTCGGCAAGGCTGCCGTCTACCCGCTCCTCCTCACGGCGACCCTCTACTGCGGCCCTCTGTACGTCAGCTACCTAGAACAGGAGCTGCCTGGCCAGGCCGCCTTCAACTACGACCGCGATGTCGCGAGCAAATGGAGGACGCTGCAGGGGATCCGCAACTACATTGTCGTGAGTGCGCTCTCGCCATCGCCGCACGCCGGCGTTGCCCCAATAGCTGATGCAGCCCGTACCCTCTGTGAGACACGGCAAACAGGGCCCCTTGACCGAGGAGCTCGTCTTCCGCTCCTGCATCCTCAGCATCATGTTCTACTCGGGCGCCTCGGCCCGCAGCATGATCTTCGCCAGTCCGCTCTACTTCGGCGTCGGTGAGTGAGCTCGGGCGACATCCCGCCTGGCACGCCGAGCGTCTCGCCGTCCTGACATCAATCGATCGATCCTCGTTGGATCCGGCACAAAGCGCACCTACACCACGCCTGGGGCACATACGTCGCTGGCGGGCGGACAAGGGACGCGCTCAAGCGCGGACTGCTGCAGTCTGGTACGTGCGAGCCGCGGAGCGCCCTCCTCTTATCGAAGGTCTCGAGTGCTCACGGCTCGGACACATCTTTTCTCTCACGGATTCCTCTGTGCAGCGTTCCAGTTCATCTATACCGGCCTGTTTGGCTGGTACGCCAACTTTCTCTTCATGCGGACGGGTGAGTTGAGAGTCTATGGCACCTCACTGCCCGCTCGTGACGCCGCTGCTGCCCTCGCCCTTTGCGCCGACGTCGACGTTGGCTGACCACTTCATCGATGCCCTGCCTGCTATGGCCACTGCGCCCGACGACAGGCACCATCGTGGGCCCGCTGCTCTCGCACGTCTTTTGCAACACCATGGGCCTGCCCAACCCGTTCGCGGCGTCCGAATGGCATCCCAAGAAGAAGGCGGGTGAGTGCGATCCTGGCCTCGTCTGTGCCCGTCGAGGGGGACAGAGTCTCGGTACTGACGCGCGAGCCTCGACCATGGTCCAGCCATCCATCTGGCCCACCTTGCGGGCATCGTGGGCTTCGCCAAGCTCCTCTTCACCTTGACCGAGCCGCGCCTGTTTGGCGGGTCGCTGTACTGGTCATAAATCCGTCTCCGCCGAAGCCAAGCTCATACAGGATGGCCAGAGGCCACACTCTCTCACACCGGCAAGGCCCAATGCTGACGATGACCGACGAACGTGGAATGAGCTGCCGTCGCTGGGTTTAGCCCCGCCGCTATCGAGAGCGACGGGCACTCGCGCCCGATCACGACTGGAAGGTGGGTCCCACCCTCCGTTGGCCCGATGCTGCGAGAGCCTCGGGTTTGGCCTCGTGGCGGGCGTCAGGGGGAAGAAGACGCTGCCACGGGGACCGGAGACTTTTGCCTGCCTGGCCGGGTCTGCCAGGCCGCCGGCCAATCAGGTCGGGCGAGGAGGCGTCGTCCCTTATCCTCCTCCATCTGCACACGCAGCGCCGGCACCGAGATGCAGGCGATCAGGCAGACGGTAGCGCGCGGCTAACGTCCCTATCGCTGTTGACTGGCTGTCGTCGGCTGCGGGGCCTGGCCGGCATTTGCTCGATTGGCCCGAGGATCGGGACGACGACCAGCTGGCGGGAGCAACGTCGCCGCCGCCGCTGCCGCCGCCGACGCCGCCGACCGAGTCACACGAGGGCAGAAAGTTGTGGGCGGAAAGCGTGCGTGAAGGCGGCGCTTGCCGGCCAACTTGCCTGGCCAGCTGCACCCACGCACGAGCAGGCCAGAAGAAATCTTGAATCTAGGACCAGAGGGGCCGCAGAGGCAGCTGGGCGGGCAGCCAGGCCGGCAGCCAGCCAGCCAACCAGGCGGCGGAACGAGGTCGAGGGAGACAGGAAGAAAAAAACTGGCCAAGCGGGCTCTGCTGCCATGCGCCCGCCTGCCTGGCCTGCCTCTTCCAGCCCGAGCAGCGGCCCCGCCTCTGACTCGAGTCGGCCCGTCGCCTTCTCTTTGGTCGTGGCTGCTCGTCGCCGTCGTCTCTGCCTGCAAACTTTGGCGGATATCAGGCCGGAAGCTCTCCTTTGTGTCGCACCTCCCTCTTCCCCCATCATCACCATCTCACTCCTCCTCCTCACTCGTCCCTCGCCGCTCCCCAGCAGCTCCATCGTGCTCACTTCCCGTCTAGTCGCCGCGACCCACGCCCATCTCCCCACTCACCCCGCATCCGCATCGTCGATCCGCCGTCGGCAAGACCACTTCCGCTGCAAGCACACCGAGAGCGAACGAGCAGCATCAATCAAGCAGGCCAACTTCCGAGCTTCGGCATCCATCGCCTTGTCAACGTCCCGAAGCACCGGATCGGATCGCTTCCCGCACGCCCCGCCCTCAGAGCAAGCACAGGCCAACAGACCAAGCAAGCAACTAAGCAAGCAGGTGCACGGCCATCTCGACCTCGCTCCTCTCGCTCCTCGCTCCTTGTCGCTCCACCTCACGGACCACGTCGTCTAACGCCAAGCCTGACCGCGTAGCCGCAGCTGGACCCCCGCCCCCCTCTAGCCCTTGTCCTATAGCTCCATCGCACTCCTCCAGCCGCCCCCCATGCACCGCTCCATCCGGGTGATGCCCAAGGGCGCTCGCCTCGCCAGCTCGACCTGGTCGGCGGCACCCTCTACGGCCTGCTCCTCTCGCCTCCTCGCGGGGGCAACGCCATCATTGCCGGCCCTGCGCAGCCTCTCGACCAAGGCAGCCTCGGCCTCGGCCGTGCTGCAAAACGGCCCCGCCTCAAAGGGCTCGAGCCTCTTCCGCTCCCGCTTCCACACCGCCGCGGCGCTCAAGTCGCCCTCGCCCACGGCGCCGGCACAGGCGACGACGGTCGAGCCCATCCAGCCCGCCGCCAGCGGGCTCCAGCAGTGGAGCAAGTACCTGCCCAAGGTCGAGCGCTCCGACGTCAAAAAGGTCCTCCTCGTCGGCTCTGGCGGTCTCTCGATCGGCCAGGCGGGAGAGTTCGACTACAGCGGTTCGCAGGCCATCAAGGCGCTGCGCGAGTCGGGCATCGAGACGATCCTGGTGAGTTGAGCGAGGTCGAGAGGCGATGCAGCTTCGTGGCAGGGCCGACAGCCGCGCCGAGCTGCGCACGAACGTTGGACCAGCCGCTGACGCCCGTCTCGCACGCCTTGCCCACCGCCCGCCCGTCCGCCTTGGCGACTGTTTCGTCCCCCCGCAGATCAACCCGAATATCGCCACGATCCAGACCAGCCACCATCTCGCATCGCAGATCTACTTCCTCCCCATCTCGCCAGAGTACGTCGCCTACGTGCTGGAAAAGGAGCGCCCCGATGGCGTCCTCCTCACCTTTGGTGGCCAGAGCGCGCTCAACGTCGGCGTCAAGCTCGACGACATGGGCGTCTTTGAGCGCCTCGGCGTCAAGGTGCTCGGCTCGCAGGTCGACGTGCTCAAGATGTGCGAGGACCGCGACCTCTTTGTCCAGGCCCTCGACCAGATCAACATCCCCGTCGCCAAGTCCGAGGCCGTCGACACGGTGCCCCAGGCGCTGCGCGCCGCCGAGGAGATTGGCTACCCGGTCATTGTCCGCGCCGCCTACGCCCTCGGCGGCCTGGGCTCCGGCTTCGCCGACAACGAGGACGAGCTGCGCGACCTCAGCGCCCGCTCGCTCAGCCTCAGCCCGCAGATCCTGGTCGAGAAGAGCCTCAAGGGCTGGAAGGAGTCCGAGTACGAGGTGCTGCGCGACCAGGAGGACAACGCCATCATCTGCTGCAACATGGAGAACTTTGACCCGCTCGGCATCCACACGGGCGACTCGATCGTCGTGGCGCCCTCGCAGACGCTGTCGGACGACAACTACCACATGCTGCGCTCGGCGGCGCTCAAGGTCATCCGCCACCTCGGCATCGTGGGCGAGTGCAACATCCAGTACGCCCTGAGCCCGGACAGCCGCGAGTACCGCGTCATTGAGGTCAACCCGCGTCTCAGCCGCTCGAGCGCGCTGGCGTCCAAGGCGACCGGCTACCCGCTCGCCTACACGGCCGCCAAGCTGGCGCTCGGCCACACGCTGCCCGAGCTGCCCAACGCCGTGACCAAGTCGACGACGGCGTGCTTCGAGCCCTCGCTCGACTACATCGTCACTAAGATCCCCAAGTGGGACCTGTCCAAGTTCCAGCACGTCAACCGCGAGGTGGGCTCGTCGATGAAGTCGGTCGGCGAGGTCATGGCCATCGGACGCACCTTCGAGGAGTCGCTCCAGAAGGCCATCCGCATGGTGGCGCCCAACTACGACGGCTTCGACGCCTACGTCGTGCCCGAGGACCTCGACCACGCCCTCTCGGTGCCCACCGACACCCGCCTCTTTGCGCTCGCCTACGCCATGCTGGTCAAGAACTACGACGTGGAAAAGTGCCACGAGCTCACCAAGATCGACCGCTGGTTCCTGTTCAAGCTGGACAACATTGTCCAGATCAACCGCCAGCTGGAGCGCATCGGCTCGCTGAGCGCCATCGACAAGGAGACGATGACGCTCGCCAAGCAGCGCGGCTTCTCGGACCGCCAGATTGCCAAGCTCGTCGGCGCCCAGGAGTACGAGGTCCGCGCCCACCGCAAGGCGCTCGGCATCACGCCTTTCGTCAAGCGGATCGACACCGTCGCCGCCGAGTACCCGGCCAAGACCAACTACCTCTACACGACCTACAACGCCTCGACCCACGACGTCGAGTTTGACGAGCACGGCACCATGGTCCTCGGCTCCGGCGTCTACCGCATCGGCTCGTCGGTCGAGTTTGACTGGTGCGCCGTCACCTGCGCCCGCCGCGTCCGCGCCATGGGCCACAAGACGATCATGGTCAACTACAACCCCGAGACGGTGTCGACCGACTTTGACGAGGCCGACCGCCTCTACTTTGAGGAGCTCGGCTTCGAGCGCGTCATGGACATCTACGAGCTCGAGGGCGCGACGGGCGCCGTCGTGTCGGTGGGCGGCCAGCTGCCGCAGAACATCGCCCTGCGCCTCAAGAACGCCAACGTCAACGTGCTCGGCACCGACCCTGTCATGATTGACTCGGCCGAGGACCGCCACAAGTTCTCGCAGATCCTCGACAACGTCGGCATCGACCAGCCCGAGTGGACCGAGGCCACCAGCGTCGAAAAGGCCAAGGAGTTTGCCGCCCGCGTCTCGTACCCGGTCCTCGTCCGCCCCTCGTACGTCCTCTCGGGCGCCGCGATGAACGTCATCTGGGACGAGTCGACGCTCGAGCACCACCTCACCGCCGCCGCCGAGGTCAACACCGACTACCCCGTCGTGCTGACCAAGTTTATCGACAACGCCCAGGAGATTGACGTCGACGCCGTCGCCCACAAGGGCAACCTGCTCGTGCACGCCGTCTCGGAGCACGTCGAAAACGCCGGCGTCCACTCGGGCGACGCCACCCTGGTGCTGCCGCCCTTCTCGCTCGACCCCAACGACCTCTCGCGCCTCAAGGTCATCGCCCAGAAGGTGGCAAAGGCCTTCAACATCTCGGGCCCCTTCAACATGCAGATCATCCGCAAGCCCGCCGGCGAGGGCGAGTCCGAGGCGCAGCTCAAGGTCATCGAGTGCAACCTCCGCGCCTCGCGCTCCTTCCCCTTCGTCAGCAAGGTGCTCGGCCACAACTTCATCGACACGGCGACCAACGCCATTGTCGGGCAGGACGTGCCGGAGCCGGTCGACCTGATGGCGCAGGAGCGCGACTACGTTGCCATCAAGGTGCCCCAGTTTTCGTGGACGCGTCTTGCGGGCGCCGACCCGTTCCTGGGCGTCGAGATGGCGTCGACGGGCGAGGTGGCGTCGTTTGGCAAGGACCTGTACGAGGCGGCGTGGGCGTCGATCAGCTCGCAGACGGCGTTCCGCGTGCCGCAGCCGCGCTCGGGCGTGCTCATGGGCGGCGACGTGACCAAGCCGCAGTTTGCTCAGATCGCGCGCAAGCTCTACGACCTGGGCTTCAAGCTGTACTGCTCCGACTCGGACGTCGAGGCCTTCCTCAACAACCTGCCGCACCTGTCGGCCAAGAAGATCCGCTTCCCCGTCAAGGACAAGCGCAAGCTGCGCGAGGTGTTTGACGAGTACGACATCAACATCTGCGTCAACCTGGCCAAGTTCCGGGGCCGCGACCTGCTGGACCAGGACTACGTGGCGCGCCGCAACGCCGTCGACTTTGGCATCCCGCTGCTCAACGAGCCGCGCTCGGCGCTGCTGTTTGTCGAGGCGCTGGCGGCGCGCATCCCGCACGGCTGCCTGCGCGGCTGGGAAGAGGGCAAGATCCCTAGCGAGGTGCAGCCGTGGAAGTACTTTGTCAAGGAGGAGGCCGAGGCCCACGCCAACTGAGCGTCGCTCGTTGTGGCCCTCCCCTCCGTCCCTCCCTCTGTCCTCTCCCCGTCCCGTCCTGATCCATCTCAATCGCTTCTACCTCCTATTACCTCGGCCCATCTCCTGCCGCATCGAGGGGTCCCATTCCGCCCCTTGCTCGCTCCAACCCTCCCTCTCTCGATCTTTAGCAACCCGTGTAATGTAATGCCTCGTCTCCGAAGAATGCCATGTCCTCGCCGATACTTGCTCGTTGTCATGCTCGCTCGTCGCACTGCTTTGGGATCGTCGCGCAAGGAGGGAGGCGAGCGATGGACGGATCCGAACGCGGAGCGCGTGACTCGGTGACACGCCAGGCTAGGCCGGGCCAAGCCAGCAGGGTCCCTTCGCCCTAGACCCACTACTCTGTGCTGGGTTGCGGTTGCGCAGTATCGGCAACACTTCCTTGTCGCGGCCAGGTCAGGGCAGAGTCGGACCAATCAAGAGGCCAGGCCACAGACCGCCTGCCGTCTCGTCTGCGGGACCGGGTCTGGCGAGGGAGCAGTTGATTTCTGCTGCGCGTACCTTGTTGGTCCTTTGCTGACTGCAGGCACGAGACTGTACCAAGGGCGAGTAGGGAGCACGGCGCGTGTCATCCCACCCACCCGAGTGACAGGCATTGATTGATTGGTTTGTCGACTCGAGACAGCAAAGGACCACGCTGCGTCGGGAACGCGCAGTCAACACGACCGGAGAGGTAGTTGGGTCCAGGTATGTACGGAACTCGCCAGACCTGACCTCCCCTCCCGCTCTTTCTGGCACCGCGCCGTATCTACGCGTAGGTGGCCAATCCTGTCCTATCTTGCCGAGTCTCTGCCCTTGAGCGGGCGCGCCTTCCTACGTAGCTTGTCAAGGCAGAGGATCACGCCATCCGTACGACCTACCGCCACGTCTCCCCCGTCGCGCCAACCCCAAGATCGATGGATGACCCGAACGAGGCAAAAGAGGAAGTACCCGCTGCAGACGGAGACAATCCTCCGCTCCGGCTCATGCGACGGGCTGAACGACAGGAATCGAAGCGTACCCATGCAAGTCGATGCCGTACAGCACGAAGCGCCGACAAAGGGAAGGGGCAGGGCGAGGTGGCGAACGTGGAACGCCACGGTGACAGTGTGCCGGGCGACTGACTCTGGGAACGCGGCGAAGCGGGCGGGCGCATCAAAAGTGCGGGGAAGAAGGGAGTGCCGTGGAGGCGTCCAGGCACCCGAAACGAAACAGCGTGCCGGGAGATACCGACCGACTGACCGAGCGACGAGCCAATCATCGTGCGGTGCTCCCCCCATCGCCCTGGCCTAGCCTGGTCTGGCGGTGCGGCGAGTTTCGGTCCGTCGTTGCCGCCAAAATGAAAACGCTAAAGGCCGAACGCGGCACATTATATTGTTGTTGCCGCTCGCTCAGGCCGTTACATACGCGGGCGCACACCATAGCCACAGCACCGTGAGTGGCGACGTACGGCTGTATAATATGGTCTAGGTCCGGTGGGCGTGTCTTGAATGCGATCATGTGGCGGCTGAGCGCCATTGACGCAGAGCCTGGGCAGGCGTTGATCGAGTCGCTTGCCGTCGTTGACCTTGTGCTTCGTGGTTACTTATTGTGTGACCAGGGCTTGGCACCGCGTAGAGCAAGATGGGAACACCTTGCTGTCGTGCACGTCGCCAAACCCTCTCGGTGTTGTGGGCGGTTCCTGAGGCTGACAAGGTGCAGTGCAGTAAGTGCAGCGCGAACAGGCGGTAGTGCAGAGCCGAAATTGAACTCGAATCAAGCCCAGCATCGTACGTCTACAGTAGTATACCGTACCGAGAGCTTGGCAATGCGCCGCGAGGTGGCGAGCCGATGATATTGGCCGAACGGCAGCAGCCGTCGGCTTGCTTGGTCCTCTTTGTTCATCGCGGCGGTGAAGTGTCCTGGCGGGCCAGGCATGGCGTGGACGGCAAGCGGTGGCGACCACGGTCCAGACTGGCCCTGGCCCTCCCGATGGCGCCGATGCGAGACAGACCCAAGGCGAGTGGTCGGCTCGGTGGCGCACGGCACCGTGCAGCCTGCGCCCGTGCCTGCCTCCGCGTACGGTGGCAAAGCCGAAGCTCGGGCGTCGTCGGTGCTCATGCCAAGCTCTTCGGATTGAGCCGTCACGCTTCACTGAAGCAGGCTCAGCGTCGCCCCTGTAGAGGGGCCCACAGCTAGTGTACGGTAACGGCGGGCGAAGGTTCGGCTTTTTCATGCAGGCAGGCCAGCCTTGGCAGGCGGGCGGGCGGGCGGCGCCGACGGCAGCGGATAGAAGCCGAATCTCGTCCCCTTCGATGCCGCCCGAGGGTTCCTGACGAATCGGAGGCTGCCCATGGTCCCGGATGCCCGGCTCTGCCCTGCCTCCTGTGCTCCTGTCCGCCCGTCCGCCCGCGTTCTGACCTTTGGCGCCCATCCAGCGGGCGAGCGAGGTGTGACTCGGCATCACCCGTCTGCACGCCACATCTTCCCAGCGCACAACTCCGCCTTGCCCTCAACGTCGCTGCCCGCGGCGAGACCGTCAGCAGGTAGGCTATTATTGTAGGTTCTACCGCACCCTCCAGGCCAGGCCTAGCCTGTGCCGTACGGTACCACGACGGGTAAAACACCTCTGCCTTGGCATGACACCTGGTAGGCCGACTTCCGACACTCATGCGCCCGGGGCGTTGAAGATGAACGTGAAAGCGATACAGGTTTGCGGCCCCGGATGCCAAGTGGCCCGGAACCCCCGCACACCGCGCCCGCCCGATCAACCTCCGCTTTCCACTCCGTCGTCGATAGATTGACCATACGCAGCATCATCGACAGCAATCAATCGTCGATGATAGAGGCACGTTGCGTAGGCCATCGAACGCAGGCTGGGCGGACGTACTGCGGCACGGCGGTGCAGGCAGGCCGGTCGGGCGTCGTGCGTCGTGCCATGCCGCTTCCGACGCGCCGGTACAGGCCCGCCGCCTTGGCAACCACGCACACAAACCGAGCAACCACGCTCGCGTCAGGTGCAGAGAAGTACAGAAAGCTCGAATTAGTGTAGCGTCGTGGGAGTGGGGTCGTCACCTCGCCGCCGCCTCGTGTGCGTACAGAAGGTACGTAACCGGACGTACGGAGCTGCGTTTGAGCCCGTGCAAGGAGACGTCGGAATTGGACACCGTTGCGCGCGTGCGGACGTGCCGGCTGGAGGTGGGACAGTACGGGAGCGGCAAAACCACCCCGTTCTCGCTGGACGATGTTCGCCGCAGGCTCTTGGTCCGCCGTACAAGCACCGATATCCCTAGCTGTGTGCCCGTACCGTGGTCGCGGCGGTAGCAGAGCTGCTCAGCCTTCGCACCGTTGTACGACAGGCAGGGTCGCAAAGGCTCCCCGGCCACGCCACGCCCGCAGCGATTCCGAGCCTGTGAGAATTTGGCATGGCCCCACGAGCCAGACCCCTTGCCGCCGTTGAAGAGAGAGAAAGGGAGGAGGAGTCCAGACCACGTCCGACTTGGACGGGTGCATCGATCGTGAGCGGCAGGCGGGCGGGCAGGAGCAACAAAGCCCAAGCAAGCAAGCACCTCGCGTTCCCAGTAGGCCAGAGCGATCCGTGCTCCTTGCCTCGTCAGGCCGGACTGGCCCTCTCGTCAAGCGGCGTCGTCTCCCATGTGCTGACGGCATGGCATGGCATGGCAGAAAGGGGGCGAGATCTCTGTAATAAGGCAAGATGGTGACGCTGGGCGCTGGGCGCTGAAGTGACCTGCCAGATGGTCTGGTCTGGCCCGGCCTGGCCTGCCGCACGATGTGCGGACGGCTTCTGCGTGCCTCCGCCTGTCTCTTCTGACACGACGGTTGGGTCCGCGCAGCATGAAAATTGCCCGGAGACGGCCCCCGCCGGCGACCCCTTTCTCGCCCTACGTGGCATGGCATGGCGAGGCATGGCATGGCACGAGGACCAAGGGCGCATATGGGGCGAGCGGGCGGGCGTCGACGCATCGTGGCCGCCCTCTGCCACGCACGCAACACAACGCTGTATGGCCAGGCCAGCAACGGCCTCCGGTCTCGCTCGCGTGACGAGACTCTATCTGGCTTCTTCGTTCCGGCGTCCCATCCCTAGCCTACCTCCTCTTTGCCCTCTTGCCTGCCACATCGTCGTTCTCGGTCTGGTTCCGGAGGTCGAATTGCTTGGTGTCAGCGCTTTCCGTCGGCCTCGACATGCCTGCCTCGGATCGAAGATTTCGTGCTGACCCGTACTGAGCCCAGCATGACGCAGGCCGTCAGGCCCAAGGAGTGGGTGATGCGGCCCAAGGAGGTGAGTGACCCACGTCAGCGTCTGCCTCCGCCGTCGGCCTCATTCGACGTCGACCTTCTCTTATCGCCAGGTCATTCTTTTCATCCGTCGTTCGTCGTAAGCACGGCAGAAGTCCCGAGTGCATGTGCAACCACAATTGCGTGCGATCTAATACCAACCAAGCACCCGGCAGCCGCCACAACCTGTTTCTCTTTCTTCCGGCATCGCTCGCGCCTCCGTGTGTGCCGGAGTGACACGCGCCCCCTCTCACCCTCCTGACGAGAGTGTCTGGCCACCAGGCCAGGTAGCCTCGCCGGCTGATGTCTTGCTCTGTTTCATCACGAGGGAACGTGACGAGGCAGGCCAGATCAGTTGATATGCGCGCTACTGTAGCCACGGCAGTAAGTGGGTCCGCAAGTGCAGAGATTGCGCGAGCAGGAGCACAGCATCAAAACGGCCGAGGCCGGGCGCACCGCGAACAACAGCAAGGGATGGGAGCCCTGTGAAGATGGTCTGAAGCCCAGCTGCTTTTCCCCGCTTCGAGATTCGGCGCCAGACGAGTGAATGGAGCGGAGAGGTACTGTAACTACTCCTGTACCTTGGCTGATCGGGGTCAGCACGACGCGGCAGTCTCACCACGAGCCCAATGTAGCGCCGATGGTGAGTCTACACCTACAGTACGTACTTAACGTATGCCTTTGACACGTTGGGATGACATCGAAGATGGCGACATGGGCGACGACGACGACGACGATGTCAAAACGAAGCCCACCACGGAGATACTGTAGCGCAAGAGGAACCCGCCGGTCAGCCCCGTTGCTCCGAGATGTCCGGCTCGGCTTGATCCTCGACCACAGCCTTGGTTCGCCCGATATGCCCAGTACGTATGCGTGGGCGCGTTTGGCGTGAGTGTGCGGGGACGGGGACGTGGAGCGTGCCAAGCCGGCGCACCGAGCGGCAACTTCTTCGGTGCGTTGGCAGGCCAACACGTCGCCCCGGCATGGCAGGCCCTTTCTTCGTTACATGGTTATGTACGCGCTCGACCCGAATGCCGCGGTACCGTAGCCAGCAGGCGCCGCCCTTGTGCTGCTGCTGCTGCTGCCGCTGCTCGTGGACGTCGTTGGCGGTTGAAAGGGGTCGATGTGCCGTGCAGACGGAGCTAGAGGGAAATGTCGAGCGTCGGGCGCCAGCAGCTAAGCGGATCGCCCCGTCGTGCGCAACTCGACCAGGCGGGGTTGGGTGAAGCGGCATCGCGCGCGCTCTCTCTCTCCTCCTCTCTCTCTCTCTCTCTACCTCTATCTCTCTGTAGCGAGGATCAGCTTGGTTTCGGCTACTTCCTCCAGCCTGGCTGCGCACCGCGAGGGCTGGGCGCGACGAGCTTGCAAGTCGAGGTCTGACCATGGCCGATTACCGAGGAGGCTTGATTAAAATCCGCTAAAGCGGTTGCAGTTGCTGTACGGCAGGCTACATAAGGTAGGGTGACCAGGAGTCATGTCCCCTAGCGCGACCAGCTGCCTCGGTGCCATCGGGAAGAGGATTTCTCTGCCTACGTCGTGTACGTCAATGGGGGTGCACAGCGACGACGACGACGTCGTCGACGACGAAGACGACAACGATGGATGGTGGTGGTGGTGGTCCCGCCCTGCCTCGGTGTAGGCACGCACCCCGTCTGTACTCACGCACCCACGCACGCACACGCAGCTCGTCGGCATGCAGCCGCCCGCACGACAATGCCGGTAGAATCGCCGTTCATGCGGGTCCACCTTCGGATCACCCGCTCAAGAGCGAGGCTGGCTGGGAGCGAGCGGGCGTACACGAGGGCCCGGGTCCATCGACAGACGCGCGGTGAACCCTCCCCAGCCACGCTCCTTCGACCGAGGCTTCTCTCTGCCAACCTAGTCCTGCCTCAAGAGGCACCTTGCTCGGGTCTCTATATGCTATACGGCGCTACCTTCGCTCGCACCGCCTCACTAGGGGATCTGGGATGGGGCTGCGGTTCCGCAACCGCAACCTCAGGGTAGGAGACTAGGAAGCTACCTAACTAGAACAAGCAGGCGAGGGCGGCAGGGTTGGCACGCCAAGCCAGCAAGCGAGCGTTGGTGTCTGCGCAAGCTCGCTCCCAGGGTGGGCCAAGGCAGCCGATCTGGCGCGTAGCCCCGGCGTACGACCACCAAGCCAAGCCAAGCTGGCGGTCACAGGTAGGCTAGGCTTGCTTGGGCCGGGGATCCGCATCGACGCATGTGCCTTCCATTCCCCCCCTTCCTTCGGCCCAGCAGCATGAGCCCGTGGCTGCCACGCCGCCCAGCCTGCTGGCCTCTACCCGGTCACGCCTGCGAGAGCTTCGCCCCCCCTTCCACGCGTACGCACGCTTCCACCTCGATGCCTCCCGCCCGCGCCTCGTGGTCGCACCGACATGCTGTGCGCCAGGCTGTACGGCCTCGGCGCATTATATTGTCGATGCCGCGGCCGCCGCCACTACCACCACCACCAGCGACGTCGTATCGTATCCGTCGCAATCGGCCAGCCGGTAGGTCGATTCGATGGGATCGGTTGGACGGCGACAGGCCACCAAAGGGCGTAGGCTGAGGAATCGGCACGCCAGACGGCACGGTAGAATTGGGCGTCGGCCGATGCGCGCCGGCCGGCCCTACCTGCCTACGCCTTCGCCTCGCTGCCCGACCTTGCCGCGCCCACCTGCGACCCGGCTCCCCCCTCGACCGACCTTGTAAGCCTAGTTTGGCCCATGCATGTGCTTGAGAAGAGACCTGAGGGCCAGGATGTTTTGACGAGCAAACGACACCATCCAGGAAGGGAGCCTGCCATACTCAGCGCTGACACCGATGACAGGTGGTGGCGGGTCACTGCGAGTCGGGCGGGCGGGCGAGACGAGAGGGGGGTTTTTTTTTAAAAAAAAGAAAATCGAAAGCAGGGCGCTGCCCGAGGATCTCTGCCTTCCACGCGTGCGCTCGGGCGACTGCTCGATGGCCGCCCGGCGTGCATTCCGGTGGACCCGGGGGAAACAGCGAGCGGCCGCCGTCGAGAGCCGGGACCTCTCGGATTTTTTAAATTCTTCTTTTCTAAAATCGTCGCTCGGGGGTGATGCCGCGCATCAGCGGTGGAGATTGGCCCAGCGGAGAGTTCCTTGGCTCGTTGTTTAGCGTCCTGTCTGCCTGCCTTGCCTGGCTGCCTGCCTGGATGAGGCCGGCCTGGCCTGGCGTGCGAGGGCGGGGCGGACGCCTTCGCGTGCGCCTAGCTTCTTTTTCGGCGGCCGCAGGCGCTGCGTCTGGGCTCGCCGGTGCCCAGCGTCGGGCCACTGAGTAGAGCTGGGGGCGGGCGGTCGGGCAGCGCCAGAGCGCGTAGGCAGGCCAGCGGTTGGGCCGTTGCAGGCGGTGTGACGGCCAGTCGCAGCAAGCAGACGAGGCAGCGAGGCGAGGCGAGGCGAGGCGAGGCGAGGGAGCGAAGAGGCGTGGCCGCAAATGCGCCGCCGCCGCCGCCTGGGCCCTCGACACGTTTTGCGGATTTTCCTGCCTGCCTGGCTGCCTGCCATGCCTGCCTGCCATGCCTGGCTGCCTGCCTGGCTGCCTGCCTGCTCTCTGGCTTGTCGGGACGTGGCCGAGTCCTAGCCTGTTCGCCCTTGGCCCGCCTGCCCTAGCCTGCCCTGCCCTGCCTGTCTGCCTGTTGTCGTCGTTGTGGATGGAACCGCGAGCGAAGGCGGCCTGACAGGATCCGGGCAGGCAGCCAGGCAGGCAACGAGCGGGCAGGAAGCCAGGCCATGATGGCCACCGGTTGATCCTCGCCCCTGGAGCCGCAGAGGCCAGCCCGCCAGCCCGCCAGCCAGCTAGCCCGCTCGAGCGTACAGAAGGGTGGACGTGACGGGGTCGACCCTTCGCCAGCCAGCACTAGCTTGCTCCCAACCATCGTCGTCTCCGGCCCTTGTTTCCTCCGACCTAACCACCTCAGCACTCGTCAAGCTCGCCGCCTGATTTGAACCTCGACCACGACCCTCTTGCCCTGCACCCCACCCACCACCAGCACCAGCACCACCATCGCCGCCGCCGCCCGACGACCTCTCAAGCGCACCCACCCGTACAAGTGCGGCACGCTCCTGACTTGGTCGCCGCCCCTGCTCCTCCTCGTCGTCCCCGCCACCATCTGCTCCTCGTCCACTTGATCAAGAGTCGATCTCTGCCATCCGCCCTGGCCACCGCCGCCCTCTGCCATCGCTTCGCTCCACACAAGCTCCGGTTGCACTCTCGATCGACGCAGGCTCTCTGCTCATCTCGCTCCATCCACTCCTGACTCTTCGGCACGACCGCTGGTTGCGCAGCCTAAACCCTCGCACGCTGCCATCGGCCCCAGGCCGAGCAGCCCATCCGATCCTTCCCACGAACGTCGCGCCACCTGCGGTGAATTTCGATTCGAGCCAGAGCCAAACCCTCGACAGGCTCGCCCGCACCATCGCTGCCTGGCAACCGCTCTGAAATCCGTCGGAGCTCCCGAACACCTTGCTTGCTGGCCAGCTAGCTCGCCACCCAACGCCTGCGGCTACGCACCGGCTACGCCCATCGCGTGCCTCGCTCGCCCTACCCGTCGGTCCCCGCTCCGTGTCTTGGACGCCGGACTACGTGCCCCCTTTCTCTTTGGCTGCTGCCGCCCCAGCCGTTGCCCCGCCGCGCCCCGGCCCCCATCGTCGTACGGCGTTTGCAGCCCCCGGATAACCTCGGACGACGCCCGCTCCGCCTGGTCCCTCGATCCAACGCAGTGGATCGCACTCGAACCCGTCCGACTCAGCCATAGTCCCCGGCTGTTTCCACCCACCGTCATCCACCTGGCGTGCCGTGCAGCTGACTCGGTCGCTGCCCCACCTCGTACAAGGTCGACCCGCTCTACCTCATTCGCCACTGGCTGCCTCCTCGACCTCATTCCCTCAGCAGCCCTTCCTCTGGCCTGGATTGTCGCGGAGGGCCTGAGCTCAAAGGACGCCCCCCTCGACACCTCCCTCGATTGCCCTTCGTAGATCTCGACCACCAGTTCCACCACACATCGCATCCCCCCTCTCCCGCCTTTGGCAAGTCCCCCCCCCCATTGCACGTCAACTCCCGACATGATGGCCGCAAACTTCAGCAACAACTTCGGGCCCAGCTCTCGCCAGCACCCTCACCTTCCGTCGCACCTCGCACCACTCCCTCCGCTCGAGCCTTCGGCCGACCGTCACCACGCTTTCCATCTCGCCCACAACCAGACCAGGAGAGGCTCGACGGATCCGATCCTCCACGCATCTCTCGCCGCCAATGCTTCGGCGTCTGGTGGCATGTCCCACGGCCTCGCAAATGGCCAGGGATCCTCGCTCAGCAGTCCGAGTCCCTTCGACATGCCCAGGCGAAGGAGCATCCAAATCGAACCCGCCATGCCTTCCGGCCACGGAAGCCCATTTGCCAGCCCGAGCCACACCGGACTTCACTCGTCGCGCTTCATCAGCCAGAACAACAGCCCCGCGCCCCTCGTCGGGCAGGCCCAGGCCGACGAAGGTTCCACCCTGCCACCCATGGGCGGAACGGGCTCCGGCTCAGAACAAGGTGAGTTCTCGATGATCCGCATTAACATGGGCGCAACTCGAGCGGGGGCTGGCATCGGATCGATACTGATCTCGGTTGCTCCGCGCTGCAATCCCGCTCTCTCTGTCTCTCATCCCCCGAAGCAGATGGAACTCGACACGCGCAGGTGCAGTCCAACTACCAGTTCGGCAGCTACGCGACGCCACCTAACCCGGACGCAGTCTACCGACACGACGACGCCAGCAAGAGTCACCTCTCGCGCGTCCCGACCGTCAGCGCCCCGGACGGCGATGGCGGGGGCGAGCTGATCGAGAACGGCGGGCCGATGCACACCGTCGATGGCTCGAGGAGATCATCGGCGAGCGGACTCGGTTCCAAGCTGCTCGGCGTCGACAAGGATGCCAAGCCGTACAGCCGAAGCCCCGAGCTCCGGGTCAGCCACAAGCTGGCGGAGCGCAAGAGGCGAAAGGAGATGAAGGAGCTCTTTGACGACCTCCGAGACCAGCTGCCCGTCGACAAGGGGCCAAAGACGAGCAAGTGGGAGATTCTGAGCAAAGGTGAGAGTCGTCCCATGGTCTGCCCGGCCGTCGATCTCGCCGTCGCCGTCGTTTCCGTCGCCGTCGCTTACACAGTCCTCCCCCCGCGCTCGCTGCGATCCCATCGCTCCGCAGCTGTCGACCACATTGCCCAGGTGACCAAGGAAAAGGAGGATCTCGAGGCCGAGGTTGCGGCGCTACGGGCGCAGCTCGGCGGCACGGGCGGCGGCAACGCCAAGTCGCACGGCTACTCGAACGCCATGAACGGCGGCCGAAGCGGGTACACCAAATCGGACGACCAGGGGCAGTTTGCGCATCCCGGGTCGGGCTACGCCTCGCACCACGCGGCGCCACAGGCTGGCCCTGCGCAACAGCAGCACATCGACAACGGAGGCCAGCACCACATGATGATGAACTATGCCGAGTCGTCGCAGCGCACGCAAAACGGCGGCCGATAAGGGGACGCCAGAGCCGTCCAGCGCCTCGGCAAACGGAGCACCGGCTCCTGGCGGACCGACCGGTGCAACGATCTCTTTTTTTACGCTCACGCTCGCTCTAGGCCCACGCCTTTCCAAGACTCGCACCCCTTCCTCCCAAGGCGGCGCCGCTGCTCCGGTGTCCGACTGGCCCGTCCATGCTATGACTGCAACTCTTGCCCTCGCACCGACGCACACGCGGCGTCGTCTCTTCCCGTTACTCTCTCTCTCTCTCTCTCTCTCTCTCTCACCATGGCCCGACCGCGCCATCTGTATTCTCAATGGAGACCTCGATCTCTCTCAACGCTCCTCGCAACAACACCTTCACATCCGGGTCGTCCGCTCGCGCCCATGAGGGTACACTCAGTCTCCGTTCCGCTACCCCGACAAGGCGTCAATCGGTGGCTCGTCTAGCAACCAGCCAGCCGATCCGATCCGATCCGATCCGATCCGATCCGACACGACACGACAACCCTCAGGTTGTGTCCTCGCCTCCCGTGATCTCTCGCCGTCCACATTCCTACGATGTCCACTCGCTGCTCGTAATCCGTCACGGTCGCAGAGGCTCTGTTCTCGCCCTTGCCCCACCGAAGTTCCGCTTGCCCACGTCTTCCTGCTCTCTCACTCTCTCGCTCTCTGACCCAGCTCCACTCCTATCCCCGCTCGCCGGCTACCATGTTTCCTCTGCGGCTTTCCTCCGTTGCCCCTTCGGTCACGCTCTTGAAGAATGGGAAAGCACCACGCACGTCACCATCCTTGCTGCCTGCGACGCCGCCTCGATCGCTCGGCTGTGTGCCGTTAGCGCGCCGTTGTGTGTTTACTGGCACGCCGGGTTCGGCTGTGGATGCGTCCGCGTATCTCCACCCTACACCACCACCACCTCGTCGTCGTCGTCGTCGTCGTCGTCGTCGTCATCATCGTCGTCGTCGTCGTCGTCATCATCGTCGTCGTCGTGACCATCCGACCCGCCCGCGTCCTGGTCTCTGCCACGCTGTCCACGCTCCTCCCTCTCGCCCCTCTGCAGAGCATCGACATCAACAGGTCCTCGGTGCAGACCCTCCTCGCCGTCGCCGTCGCCGTCCTGCCTACGTGGCCGTCGCTGTCGCACCCTCACATCAGCACCACGTGCGGGGGGCTGACCGGAGCGCAGGATGACTTTGACGTCGTCCGGGTAGTCGTGGCGGCGGTTGGCGTCGGGGATGCGCAGCGAGTGCTTGTGCGCCGATGCGCGGTGGCGGATCACGTCCCTGCGATCCAGCATGCGCACCCGGCGCAGGTTGGTCGTCCCGTTGCGCTGTGCCTGCCCAGTGTACGTTCGGGTGCGATGAAGCCGTGACGAGGTCGAGGGGGGTTTGTGTGTGTTAGTATCCGCAAAGAGACAGGGGCAAAGGGGGAGGGCTTCGTTTCTCCTCACCTGGTACGCCGCAAAGCGATCGGTGATACCGCCCGTCTCGCCGCTTAGATCCACCACCTCCTCGCGTCCCTCGGCCTCGTGGCAGGACACATTGGCAAGGAGGCAGCAGGTGCACTTCTTGGTCTTGGAATACACCTCGGCCACCTGTGGCGGGACAGTGTAGCAGCTGATGCGCAGGCGTCGACAGCGGGCACATCGACTCTTCCGAACGCGTCCAAAGAGCTAACCCGCGCGCGCGCGCGCGCCGTTTCGCCATCCCATCACATCGCGGCGACGCTACGACGTCGTCAGCTTCTCGCGCTCCTCTTCAACGGCGATCGAAAGGCCGAGGCGACCGACGACTCACCTCGATCTTCCGGCGTCGCACCTCGCGCTTGACGATGGTGCGGTCGTGCGAGTCCTGCTTCATCAGTCTCTCGGCGACGGAACCGACGAGACGCAGCTGCGTGAGCGAGTGCTGCCGCAGATCGGCGACGAGGCTCTGCAGTTTCGTCTGGTTGTACCCGCGGTACGACGAGAGGAGGTCGAATGTCGCTGCGCCCCTCCCGCGCCCACCACGGCGTGGCTGTGGAGCGTGTGGCATCGTCGAGTCGGGTCGAGTCGGGGTTGAGAAGTGTGGGGTGGGGCGGAGTCGGGTTGGGTCGGTATCGGATACGATGAGGTGGCGTGCCGTGCCGTGCCGTGCGATGCGATAAGCTCAGGTAGAGTAGGCAAAAGCTGCAAGAGGGATGGATCGAGTGATGGATGGGGACAGACCACCGAGCAGACGACACCGGACGAGGCTACATATATATCCTTCCC